CATCTCCACAGGGTCTCTCCCTTCCCCCGGGAGCAGGTCTTACTCCTCAGTTGAGGGAGGGCAATTGGACTGCAGTTGGAGGGCTCTCCAGCATTCTCATGGGCAGGCCATGGTCATTTATACCCAGAGGAGTCTGTCCGTGACCCCGCAGGGTTCTCACTTTCTCCATTCCTCTCTGTGAAATGAACAACGTTCCTCATCTCTGTTCTCCAGGTGCCTCGCATCCCCGACCAAACACTCCAGCAGTCCCCCAACCTACCGTCTGTTAGGGGGCCTGCAGACTCTGAGCTCCCCAGCCCAGCTAGGGAGGCCCGAGGTTCAACCCCGCCCCAGCCCCTCTGGGAAATGCCCCCGCCCCACCAGGGGCTCTCACCTCCCTGCTGACTGCCGCGCTCCCCCGGCCGCTCGAGCCAGGCTCTCCCGCCCCGCTTGTCCAGACTGCCTCCGGGCCGCCTCCTCAGCTGGGCAGGGCAGCTCCGCGGGTCTCCACAGCCCCGCGCCCTCGGTCTCCTCGCGGGCGCTGCCGCCGCCACCGCCGCCGCCGCCGATTGCTGAAATGCTGGACAGCGCACCACCATGGAGGCGGCCTCCCTGCCCGCCGGCCGGCCAGAGCGACTGGCGCCCACAGCGCCCTCTGTAGGTGTGGAGGCCCTTCCACTTCGCAGCAGTGGCGAGAAATGGGGCACTGGGGGATTTCCACTCAGGGACGTCTGCTCCACTCCTTGCGGGTGGGGGCACGCCAGACCCGAGAGGCATCCGGAGCAAGGGAGGTTATTTATTTGGACCGGGAGTGAAGTTCGGGATGCTGAGTTCTGGCTAGGACACTGCACAGCAGATATCTAAGAGGGTCCACCAGTGAATCGCCTCCAGAGCACCCCTTTAATCGTGCATCCTGGTGGCCGGACTGAGGTCGGGTGGGCTGCTGGTGGAGGACGTCTCAATGGAGGAGAGGAATTTTGAGACTGGAGTCGCTGGACCTTCCGTAGTGCTCGTTTGGTTGGGCGTCTGGAGTCCTGAGTTCAAGTCACCCTTCGGTTACTTTTCCTGATTTTGGATGATCTGTCTGTTCTGTGGCTCTCGCCTCCCTTTCCTTGAGTGAGCTGGCTGAGAGGCAGAAATTCAGCCAGGAACGTGGAAGCCTTCGCTTGGAGCCCACCAGTGGTGTCCCCCTGGAAGCTTCCCTGCCCCGGCAAGCAGGGCTGGAAGTACCTGAGTGGGCATGAGCAGGGCTGGGACGAGGGTGAGGCAAGTGAGGCAGCTTTTAAGAAGGCATTTATATGACATTGAGAGTTATCCCTGGGTCAAGTGTATGTTTGTTGTGAGTCTGTGTGGGTTTATGTGCATGTGTGCCCATCAGTTTATATGTATAACTGTGTGTGTCTGTCTGTCCATGTCTGGAGTCGGTGTGTGCCCTCCTCCTCTCCTCTCTCCTTTCCCCCCAAGTTTCTTGACCCCACCCTCACATGCATCTCCAGTGTGTGTGTGCGTGTGTGTGTGTGTGTGTGTGTGTGTGTGTGATCCTGATACTGCAGGCCCAACCCAGTCTGCAGAACAAAGCTTGGGATGTGGGAGAGGGATGGGCTACAGCTGCTACTGCCATTACCACAGCCCCATAGCCCCAGCAGCGAGTCCTCTGCTGGTCTCCTGCCTTCTGGCTGCATGAATATTTCATCTGCTGGGGTTTTCCTTGGGCTGGCCTAGCACTAGTGTGCTTGTTCCCCTGTTTGGGAGGGGCTGCCCCTTTTGCCCGGCTGATCAGGGAGTCAGCAGATCAAGGGCTGGGGAAGGGCCCCTGGAGGGCCTGCAGGCCTTTCCTTGCCTGGTTAGCTGTGGCTGGGTGTGTGGAGAGGGTGTGGGGGAGGCCAGAGAAGGTGCAGGGAGGGTATCCTCTCCGAGTGAAGCCCATTTCTTAAATTAAGTCAAGTTGGTTTAAACCTCACCACACTGATTTGGTTTCTGCCAAGCCCTGGCCTATGTTTGAGACTATGCCTAGGAATACGTTGCCCCAGTTAGGCATACCTCCTCCTGCCCTCCCCCTCATCTGCCTCTTGAAGCCCCTGCTCCACCCCCCAGCTGTACAGTGGGAGCTGCTTCAGGGGAGGAGAGAGGGCCCTGCACGCTGGCTGGAAGAAGCTTTCCTACCTTCCTTGGGCCATCTATTCTACCACACATGAGATGCAGAGCCCCGGCGCACTCTCACCCCTTGCACTCCCTGGCCCTGGCTCAGAGGAATAGACCTCTATCCTGGTTTCCCTATCGGCCTGCTAATTTTCTAAAAAGGGCTCCTTCCCTTGTGTTACTCATTTCAACGAATGGCATCACCATCTGTGCTGGCTTCTCTCTGTTTGCTCCTCGGAGTCTCTTCCCCACCCATCTCTGTCCTGCTCTGGGCCTTGGGAAGCTGACCTCTGCAGACAGGTTCCCCAGGCTCCCTTGCTCTTGACTTCTGGTTGGATTCATCTGAGGAGAAGCATCACCAGGAGAATGAAGGGTGGGAGGAGAGAGAAGTTAGGTATTTATTCCCTTGCTGAGCTCCTCTCCAACTCTGGTCCAATAGCCCCAGGTCTTCTGGCCAAGTCCTGGCATTTCTGGCATTTTTTTCTTCCTTGTGGCACCTCAGGCCTAGAGGTGGTAATAGTTCCCACTGTTATAAGTCTATTCTTTATTGCTCCGTTCTCATATCCCCACCCACACCTGTGTGCAGAGTCCCTTCATCAATCTCTCTCCAAGTAAACTGTGGAGGGGCTGTCTACTTCATTCTGGGCCCCTGATCCATCCACCCTCTTCTTTAAGTCTAGTCTCAAGTCAGAACTCTGTGAGACCTTGAGTCCTCCAGTTCCCCCTTCTTCCTACAGACCTTCCACCTCCTGGAACTGTCCCTCCTCTTCACCCCCCTCCCCATGGTGTCTGCCTGGGCAAGGCCTTGCTTGGTCCTGGTCCCCTGCATAGTATCCGCCCCTCCCCATTTACTTTCTCCTGGAACACACATCTCTACTCCAATAGCACTTGATAAATGAACCCTCCCAAGACCTCCCCATATAAAACAACATCTCCTCGCCCAACACTATTTTTCACTCCTTTAAAGGAATTACTGTGGTAAAGTACACATAAAAGTTACCATTTTAACGATTTAAAATGTACACTTACATTGTTGTGCAGCCATCACCCAAACTCAAATTGAAACTGCACACATGAAACATTAACTTCCCATCTCTTCTCCCCTGGCACTCTCTGTGTCCATGAATTTGACTACTCTAAGTACCTCATATAGACAGAATTATACAGAATTTGCCTTTTTGTGTCTTAGCATAAAATCCTCAAGGTTCATCCAGGTTGTGGAATGTGATAGAACTTTTTTCCTTCTTAAGACTGGATAATATTTTATGATATGGGTAGACCACATGTGTATTCATTCATTCATCTATCAATGAACATGTGGGTTGTTTCCACCTTTTGGCTATGGTGAATAATGCTGCTGTGAACGTAGTGTACAAATATCTGTTTGAGTCCCAGCTTTTAATTCTTTAAGGTATATACCTAAAAGTGGAATTTCCATGTCCTTAATTTTTTGAGGAACCACCATACCATTTTCCATAGCAGCTATAACATTGTAATTCCCACCAGGAATGCAAAAGGGTTTCAATTTTTCCACATCCTTATCACCACATATAATTTTCTGTTTTTGAAAACATAGTAATCCTAAGAGCTGTGACTTGGTGTCTCATTTTGGTTCTGGTTTGCCTTTCCCAGATGAATAATGATGTTGAGCACCTTTTTGTGTGTACCTTGCCATTTGTATAGCTTCTGTGGAGTACCTCCCTTATTTTTATCTTATTGCCATCTGTCATATTACCCATCTACTTAGGGTTTTTTTTCTCTCTCTTCACACTAGACTTTGCTCACTGCTGTATTCCCAGTTTCAGCACATAGTAGGTATTCAGCAAATATTTGTTGATTGAATGTCTAAATGCTTCCCTTGATGGTTTCTCAATCCATCTTCTACCTAGCTTCACCACCCAAAATGTTGTCTGTCTTACATTCTGCCATAAATAAACCTCTATGGAACAATAGTGCCATAAATAAACCTTTCCAAAGTAGACATGAGACTCAGTGTCTGATTCAGAGCCCTGCACCTAGAGCGATTCAAGCTCTCCCATAGCCCGACTCACTTGCCTTCAATCTGTCACTAAATTTGGCATTGTCTGCCTTCCCTGTCTCCTCGCCCACCAGCCAATGCTGTATCTCCCACTAGCCTTTATATTTGCTGCAGCACCTTTTTCTATTTCCATGTCCTTCAACACTCAGCTCCAGGGCCAACTCCCTTTCCAGGTGCCCATCCTCCCACCCCCTGTTGCCTGATCATCTCTGCCAGGGGCCTCATGCTCAGAGGCAAGGGCAGGAAAGACCCTGTGATGAGAGACCTGGCCAAGCCAGGCTGGTGTCTCCACTCACCAGAGTTCCCAGGCCCAGACAGTGGCTTATAGTGACCTTGACCTCAGAATTAGCTCTGCTCTTTCTCTCTTATTTTGCCCTACCTCTGCCACCCTCTCTCTGTGCCACCCTGTGTCTAGGATATGAACTTCATGAAGGCAGGGTTGGGTCATGGCTACCTCCATATATCCAACACCAGCAGAGGGGCAAGAATCATTGCTTGTTGAATTGAGTTGTCTGGGTTTTTTTGTCTGTCTCGAAGCTATTGTCTGTCCTCCTCCACCACCCCTTTTCCTCCCTCTCCACCCCTCAATTTACTCTGCTCTTTTTTTCTCTGGCTCTGCCTGTCTCTTTCCATTTATATTTTTGTATAATGGGAGGTAGACACACACCTTGGGGGCACTTGGCTTTGAAGTCATTCCCTCTCATCCGGTGCTTCTCAAAGTGTTTCCTCAACTCTCTGCATCAGAACCACCTTAAGTGCTTGTTAAATGGAATGGTGTCTGAGTGCTCTCCAGACCTACTCTAATGGCCATCTATTGCTGCGTAACAAATATTCCAAAACTTAATGACTCAAAACAACAACCATTTTATTATATCTCACAAGTTTGTGGATCAGAAATTTGGGCAGGACTTGTCTAAGTGACTCTTCTGCTCCATGAAGCATTAAATGGAATCACCTGGTGGTTTTCAGCTGATTAATGGTTGTGGATTGGAAGGTCTGGGCTCTGGTGGGGATGGCCGGAGGGCTGGGCTCAGCTTTCCTTCTTGCCTTCTCCAGGTAGTCTCAGGCCTCCTCTTGTGTTGTCACTAGCAGAGTTGTCAGGCTTCTCATATGGCAGCTCAGGGATCTGGAAGCAACTGTTCCAAAAGAGAGGAATTAGAAGCTGCTAATCTCTTAAAGCCAGAACTCAAAACACACATCACTTTCCCCATTTTCTATTTGTTAAAGCGGTTACAGAGCCTGTTCCATTTAAAATCGCACTCCCTCACTTATATTCAAAGGTGGGGGACATAGATTCCATCTCTTAATGGGAGGAGGGGCCCGGAATTGGTGGCCGTCTTTAATCTGCCGTATCTCTGGAGTCATACTCTTTGAGTTGGACCCACAGTCCCTCCTGAAATTGCAGAACTGATGCTATGGCCCTCATTGACACTAGAACTCATACTCCTCGTACTCCTCGTGCCTGGTGCTGTTCCCCTGCCCAAAGCCCAGATTGCTGCTGACTAGCTGTGTGGCGTTGTGAAAGCCTCACTGAGCCTCAGTTTTTCTGATCTGTAAGATGGGGCTAGTAATACCTGTCTCTGAGGGTTGTATTCCTTTTCTAATTATTATAGATCTTCTCACTGCCATAGCTTGCAGTGAATTGGTGATGTAGGGGAAAGGCCAGTGATGTTCTGGTGTCTTTTTACCTGGAAAATAATAAAACCTGGCATCTATATCCCTCTCCCCATCCGATACCTTAATTGTTCACTCTTTGCCCCTGGTCCAATCCATCAGTGTTTCTCTGCTGTTGTCCTTTCTCTCTCCGCACTCCCTTCCCTGCCACCCTGGTGCCCCCGCAGAGTCCAGCACTCTGCTGGGCCCACACTGTGTTCGAGAACCACACTGCCTCTTCCTCTCTGTGCCTCTCTGCCTGGCCCACCCCAGGCCTCTTCCTCTCCATTTCCTTCCTCTCCTTACAGCCTATCTCTCTCTCTTTGCAGAGCCTGGGAAATTGAGGAGTCCCTTGTGGCAGACGGGCAGGACTGACCTTGAAGCAGATCTTTAATAAAAAATGAGCAGAGGCGGCAGCCTTCCCTATTCACCTCCCCTAGGCTCACTCCTCCTTTAGGTCTCCTGCTTTCCTCTCAACTTGTAAATCTACCCTAAGGGGCCATTGCTCCGGTTTAAGCATCGCCTTCATTCGGGTCCTTTGGGAAGGTGCAGATCTCTGGGATGTAATGTGAAGGAAGGAAGCTTTTGCTGGGACCAGGGGAAGTGGTAGAGAGAGGAAGGGGCTATACTCTGAGATTGTGGGCTCTGCCTGCTCTGCCTTAGGACTTTACATGGGAATTCCCTCCCCTACCCAAGGCCTCACAACTGAGGCAATGGTTTAGCCCCACCCTGGCCCAAGGCCATCCCTGGCTGGAGTTGGGGGATTATGCACTCGGGGGACTTGGAATTAAATTCCCCACAGACCCAGGTTCCCCTTAGTCTGGACCCAGGAGTGAGAGTGGCCCACTTTGAACTCTGCCGTATCCCAGAGATTATGCTCATCCTCATTACCTCTAATTCTCACAATGAGCCCATGAGCTGAGGATCATTGTCCATCTCACAGATGAGATCACTGAGGGTCAGCGAGGTTCAGAGCTGCCCATAGCCCCCTAATCCATAGGTGACCTGGCCAATGACTTGAGCCATAATCTGGCTGACTCAAAGCCAAGCTTGTCCCCTGAACCACTGGCCTCAGAGCTGTGCATAGGTCTTATTTCTACTTCCCAAGTCTGCGGCCCTGGCCCCTGCCATGACCAGGGCATAGAGCTCCTTCTCCTCCCTGAGGCTTGAATCCACTCAGGCCCTCGAATGTGGATCCTATGGGAGGGACAGACCTCCTAGAACCAGATTGCCAATTCCTCAGCTCTTCATATGTCCCCTTCTCCCCCTGGACCTCTTGGGACCCCAGAGCCCACCGTGAGCTGTCCACATGGTGGGTGTGTGACTCTGGCCAGTGGAGCTACTCTGCCCCTTAGTTCTTGACAGGGTATATAGGAGGTGTAGATATACGTATGGATGTGTGTGCACAGAACGTGGATATAGTGTTGTAAAGATGTGGGGAAATGAGTAAATGAATTTGCAAATTAATGAATGAGTGAGAAGTCATTCAAATGGATAAGTGAATGAGGCACTGAGTCAGTGAACTCTGCCCTCCCAGCAAGGTAGAGGCAGAGCGAAGAGATTGTGTCCTTTGTGAGCTCCCCCTCCCTATGAGGCCCACAGTGACAGAGAAGCCCACCAAATGTTCATTCTCTGCTTCCCGAGAAGAGAATTGTCAATGGGACATGAATGCCCATCCAAGGACTATATCTCCCAACATTCCTTGCACGTATATAAACCATGTGACTAATTCTCACCAATGGAATGTAGGCAGAAGTGACATTTTCCTGGAAAAGCCACCTAAAGAGCAGGTGGCCCTCTTTGTCCTCTTCTCCTGTCTGTTGGCAGGATGCTCAAAACTCCAAGGCCCTGGGGAGGGGAGAGAGAGCCACAAGATGGAAGGAGTTTGGGTACCTGTATCATCACATGGAGAAGAGCTGCCTGCTGACCAAGAACATCAGCATAAGACTGTTATAGAATGAGAAATAATAAGTAGTGATAAGTTACTGAAATTTTAGAGTTTGTTATAGCAGCTAACATTGCCCTAACTAACACACTTATATAAATTAACTAGAGGCCCAGTGCATGAAATTTGTGCACGGGTAGGGTCCCTAGTGGCTGCCTGCCGGGGCCGTCCTTCATTCCCCACCGCCCCCTGGTGGTCAGCGCATGTCATAGCGAGCAATCAGACTCCCAGTAGGTTGAGCTCCGGAGGGGACACTGCATATTAGGCTTTTATATAGAGAGGTTATTCATTGTCAAGCTATGGATTTTAGCCTTGAAACACTCAAGCAGGGGCTGTGGAGACTCTTGACAGGTGTCTGTGATGAGGGCCAGCTAGGTCCTTCATCCTTTGCCTGCCATCAGTGGGTAGGGAAGTGGGGACAGATAGCATGACCATACTGCTTTCTCCTCACCTCTCACATTCATGAAAGGGTTAATGTTGCTCCTGAGTTGGGAAGGACTCAGGTGCAGGGGTTAAAAATGACTAATTAGACAAAACTAATCTACAGTGTTAGAAGTCAGAGTGGTTATCCTTGGGAAGTGGTGACTAGAAAGGGTACAGGAAGGCTAGTAATATTCTGTTTCTTGATCTGGATGCTGGGTACATGGATGTGTTCAATTTGTGAAAATTAATTGAGCTGTATATGGAAGATTTCTACACTTTCTGGGTGCATATCATATTTTAAGAAAAAATAATTAATGCCCAGGAGAGGGAATGCTAGAGTGAGGAGAGAAAATGAGTGAAAGAAGACGGGATGGAAACAAGATGAGAACGTCAGCAAAGGGACAAAGGAGGGTTTGGGGCAGGGCAGAGGGCAGCCCTGCCCCTTTAGCCATCGCTGTAGCCTTAGACATACGCCTTTTCTCTGTCCTTGGCAGGTCACTGTAATCATCACCCACCACCCATTGTCCCTCCATCTTACACTGGGCACCTACTATGTCCAGGAAGCATTCAGACTGTCCCCCTAGTGGGTGTCCTGGCCTGAGGACCCTTACCCCCAAGAAGTGTGTGGCGAGCTATCCTTGGAGGCCTGGGGCAGAGGCCCCTCCACATTTTCCAACCTGGTCAAGGCACTGGTGGGGGGTGAGAAGGGAGTAGGGGAGGCTGCAGAGATAGCAGCTGAGGCTATCTTGAAGGATGTGACCCAGTTTTATCTCCAGCATCTGTCTCTCAGCAGAATAGTTTCCAGTCACCTGAACCCATTGCACACATCCACATAACACACACGCATCCAACTCACACAGCTCACATGTATCTCACATCCATGCCACATGCATGTCCCCATGCTCCTATATATGCCCCATATACACGGCCCATAGACACATCCCAATTACCTGTCCCACACCTGTGCCTCATATGCACATCCTGTGCACACACCCCATACATGTGCCACAGTCATGCCTCATTGCTGTTGTTATGTGCCATTGAGTTCGCTCTGATTCCTGGTGATTCCTGTAAATGAGTGATGGTCACGATGTCCTGTCCTCAATAGCTCTGCTCAGCTGGGCTCATGTCTGTGGCTCCTTTTATGGAGTTCATCCATATTTGGTCTTCCTCTTTTCCTGCTGCTTTCTATTTTTCCCAGCATTATTGCTTTTTCCAAAGAACCCTGCTTTCTCATGAAGTGCCCAAAGTAGGACAGCTTCAGTTTGTCATTTTTGCCTCCAGCAATGTTTCAGGCTTACTTGCTCTAGGATCCATGCCTTGTCTACTCATCAACGTACACACACTCACAAACCTATCAACACCTCCTCTACACCTGTACAACCCTCAGACACACATCGCATCACACAACTCCTGACATACACAGCACACACTTATACACACCAACATGTACATCCATGCACAGAAACATGCACCAGCAAGATGTGCTGGGACAGAGATGCCTAGAGATGGCCTGCCTATGGGAGAAGCACATCCACAATGAACCAGACCCTCAGGGACCCAGAGGTAGGAGTGGATTGACTGAGGGTCCCTTCATGGGATACTAGCCCGGGTGCATCTCTTCTATGAGGCCTGACTGTGGTCCCAGAGGAGCCTTCTCCGAGCTGTGGAAATCCTTACATGAAAGGACAGATAACTCATGTCCTTGCAGGGATCTGCCAGAGCCCCAGACTCAGCCCGAGCTGACCCAGCAGGCTGAGTGAGCTGGGGGCAGGGCTGGGAAGCAGAGCCAGGAAGGAACTCCTGGGAGTTCCCGGGCCTTGGACTGGACCAACCCCAGCCTGCCCACTCCAGCGGCCCTGTTCTGGGGAGAGGCAGATGACTTGGGGCAGGCTGTCAGTGTGGGACAGGGAGAGAGCTGGCCTGTCTGGAAAAGGCCCGCACATGTGTGCGTGCACACATGCAGCATTTATGCACTTAATTACACACTAAAAACCTCCCAATGCACTAATGTCAGCAGGGTCTCTTTCTCCCCCCTGGTCTTGCTTTAATTACTCCTTCAGGGACCCTGGCAGGCTGAATTTGCTTTTTGAGCTAGAGGCCAGCCTGCTCAACTCAGATAAACACTCACAAACCTATCTATGCCTCCTCTACACCTGTACAACCCTCAGACACACATTGAATCACACAACTCCTGACATACACGCACATACTTAACCCTACACCAACATGGGCCCCACATGTGCATCCATGCACAAAAACATGCACCAGCAAGATGTGCTTGTGTGTTATGTGTGCAATGGATTCAGGTGACTAGAATCATGCTGGCCCAGCCCTGTGTGTGTGTGTGGCGGGGGGGTTGGGAGGGAAGTAGTGAGACCCTGTGCATCTGTGAGGCCTGTGGCTGCTCCTCAGACCCCTGCTTCTTTATCTCTGGCTCTTGCATGGCCGAGCCAGAGCCCTCCTCCCAGCAGCCCCACCCTCAGACCAGGAGGCATCTTGTGAGCCACAGGGGGCCCTGACCTCCTAGTGAGGAAAATCCCAAGGATAGTCACCAACTATTGAGTGCCCACTGTGTGTTGTAACCTTGGATACTTAATCCTGCCAGCCAGCCTGGCAATGGGCCTCATCAGCTCATTTTACTGGTGTGGAAGCTGAAGCCAGAGAAGTTAATTTGCTCAAGGCTCTACAGCAGCAATGGCGAACCTATGACACGCATGTCAGAGGTGACACGCGAACTCATTTTTTGGTTGATTTTTGTTAAATGGCATTTAAATATATAAAATAAATATCAAAGATATAAGTCTTTGTTTTACTATGGTTGCAAATATCAAAAAATTTCTATATGTGACACGGCACCAGAGTTAAGTTAGGGTTTTTCAAAATGCTGACTCGCCGAGCTCAAAAGTTTCGCCATCACTGCTCTACAGCCTTGGGGACCTGGAGGGGTGGGGAGGTATAGAGTGAGGTGAACTCTTTTTTATTTTATTTTATTGACTGGTTTTGAGAGAGAGAGAGAGAGAGAGAGGAAGAAAGGGAGGGGGGGGAGAGAGAGAGAGAGAGAGAGAGAGAGAGAGAGAGAGAGATTTGTCGTTCCACTTATTTCTGCATTCATTGGTTGCCTCTTGTATGTGCCCTGACTGGGGATCAAACCTGCAACCTTGGTGTGTTTGCACGACGCTCTAACCAACTGAGCTGCCTGGCCAGGGCACAGCGGGAGGTGAGCTCTTGTTGGCCTTCAGCAGCCTCATCTTCTAGGCTGTCCTTCAGGACTACTCCAGCCTTCTGGACTCTTCCTTCTGGAAGGTTCTGTTGAACTGGGAAGCATGATGTTCAATTTATAATGAAGCACAGTGCCACAGTTTGTGTTCTATCTTCACGTTTTGCTCCTCTGAATACCTTCTATACGGCTATTTAGCTTTCTCTTTAAATCAGCTCCTGTTTGTACTCAGCCTGTATGAGCAATGCAGGCCAGAATGTACTGTTTCTACCCTTTAAACACACATCGCAATAAATGTGTCTAAGTCACGTCAGGGCCCGTTAGGGAGACCTTGCCTGGCACCAATCACCGGTCGTGGCCTCTGCTTCCGTGCCAGCACTCTCCCCCCTCTCCTGTGGCCTCTGCCACAGTCCTTCCCTCCCAACAGTGGAGCCATGACCTTGCTCCTCCCCTCTGGAAGGTACCTTGGGCTGGTGTCTGCTCAGGCTTCTGTGAGGACTCAGGTCCCACCCACCAATCACTGCTGGCAAGGTCACTTGACTTGAGCCTCAGTTGCTAATTGTCCCCACATCCCCATGCCCAGTAGGTGCCTAAGACAGAGAAACTGTCCCGTAAAGGCAGCTAAAGCTGCACTGGGCTCATACTGGGGTGGGGCTGGCTGGGCAGTTCCTCTCTGCTTTCCTGTTTGTGACAGAGGCCTCCTCACAGGCATGCAAGGAGATGGCAGCCGTGGAAGTTTCTGGGCGAGAACAAGGTGCTCTTCATATACACTTCATATACACACACCACATATCATATACACATACTACTTGTACCACCCCACACATACATAAGCACATTACATATCACACACACCACGCAACACACATACTCACACACAAAATCACCCCAGCCCATGAAAAGAGCATTTCCATTTCCAATCACCCCTATCCAGCCCCACCAGCCCGCCTGCCCCTGTCCCTGGCAGGAGGGAAGTTAACCTAATTACTGGCCTGCAGTCTGCCTAGCACGAGGCTCTCAGCCTGGCTGGGAGAATATTAACACCTGCAGGAACCCAGGAGGGAGCAGCACAGCGGAGGGAAGTTATTTTTAGTCAGTGGAGGTGGGGTTTGCAGTGGAGCTGAGCTGGTGGCTTAGGGAGGAAGGGGCTACACAGAGTGATGAAGAGCTATGGTCAGGCAGACCAGGCAGCCTGGCTGTGACCTCTCCTAAGAGGGACCAGGCCAGCCTGAGGCTCCCAGGAAGGGGGGAGGGGGCTGAGAGAAGGGGAGTGGCTTGCCAAGACTTCCTACCAGAGCTGTCCGACTGGGCTGGGTTGCCAGCTGGGGAGAATGTGAAATGGCTCTAAAATGGGGAGAAGGCTCTGTGTGATCTGACAGCCTCCCTCCCACACTCACAGGCAGACATACAGGATGGGAGAGCAGGGTGGTGCTTCTCTGTCAGGCCTCTGAGAGTAGCTGGGCAGTTGCAGGTGCTGTGACTTCCTCAAGGCATGTCAGTCTGTGAATGGCCGGTCCCTCCATTCAGGCCCCTGATCTGAGGTCAACACCCTCCTCCATCCCTTAAGGAATGCTGCCAAGAACCTGCCTGCCAGCAGGGGGCACAGTGGGAGCATCTCCCCTCCAGAAGCACATAGACTTCAGAGCATAGTGAGCCAGGAACCCAAGAAATCCAAGGTTCTGGTTTCAAGAGACAGAACCAACCCACATGCAGGGAGAATCTGCCCCGTGGTGGAGGGAGCTACTGGGAGACACGAGATGTCTAAGACACAGCCCTACAGAGGCTGCAGGCACCTTGCTGAAGGGCGAAAGTTCTGCAGCTGGACTTCCAGGGTTTCAATCCCAGCTCCCTTTACCTGCCGTGTGACCTTGGACAAGCTCCTCAATAGTCGTACCCACCTTCAAATGTGATGAGGAGTAAAGGGATTATGCCTGCAAAACACTTAGGAGGGGTACACCAGTTTCCTGTGCTATTGTAACGATGATTACAAATTTAGTGGCTTAAAACAACACAAACTTATTATGTAACAGTTTTGTAGGTTAGAAGTTCTAAAACCAAGTGTCAGCAGGGCTGCGCTCCTTCAGAGGCTGTGGGGGAGAATCTGTTTCCTTGCCTGCCTTTGCAGAAGCCATCTGCATTTCTTGGCTCGTGGCCCCTCCCTCCATCTTCAAGGCTCAGTGTAGCATCTCTAAATCTCTCTCTCTCTGACCTGCTTCTGTCATCACATCTCCTCCTCTGATTCTGACTCTCCTGCCCCTCTTTGTAAGAACTCTTGTGGTCACAGCAGGCCCAACCAAGTAGCAGGGAGAATCACCCCCTCTTAAAGTCTTTAATTGAACCACAACTACAAAGTCCTCTTTGCCATGGTAGGTGACATATTAACAGGTTCCAGAGATTAGGATGTGGACATCTTTGGGGGCCATTATTCTGCCTCCCACAAGGAGGCTTGGGAAGCAGTGAGTGCTCAGCAGACATGAGAGAGGGAAAAAATGCTCACTGCATGGATAGGGTGATCCAGTCCCACAGCTGAGGGATGGTTTAGCCAATAAGGGTTTCCAGGGGCTGCTGGGGAAAGTTGGCCCTGTTTTAGGCAAAAAGAAACATCAGGATAAGGTACTAGAGACATTACAACAAACCCCTGTACACAGCTCTTTACAGTTTGTAAAGGGCTTTTCATGATGATGTCATAGATGAGGAAACTGCGACTCACCAAATGGGTGATGCTTCACCCAAGGTCACTCAAGTATAAATAACAGTCAGGATTTGAATCCAGGACTGTTTGACTCCCAGTCTCAGGGGTCTTCCCACCACACCCTAGGTGCCTCTGCCCACCACAACTGATAAATGCATGATGGATTAGAGGCCAGAAAGCCGGGAAAGCTGGGAGTGGGCCCCAGGAGAAGTGCACAGGGCATTAGGCTTGGGGTCCAGCCGCCAGAGCTTCCATCCTGCACTGTCACTCAAGCTGTGTGAGCTTGGGCAATCACCTCGTCCATAAAAGGGCTGGTAATGGGTGGTTGCTACGTAAAATGACAAGACCCATGTATCAGCACAGGGAGTGGTGCTAGAGTGTGGGATTAGCTCAATAACATGCTTTGCAAAGATACACATTTGATTTTTAATTTCACAAGCAATACTCATTGTACATTCTGGCCACTATTGCAAGGGATTTCTCACTGCAATATTTAACTATCAAAGTATATTTGTTTCCTGAGGTGGCTGTAACAAACCACCACAAACTGAGCGGCTGAAACAATAGAAATGTGTTGTCTCACCATCCTGGAGGCCAAAGGCAGAGTTGACTACTTATGAGGGCCATGAGAGAAACCTGTCCCAGGCTTCTCCCTTGCCTTCTGGTGGTTTGTGGGCAATTTTTGGCGTTCCTGGGCTTGGAGACGCACCACCCCTGTTCTCCCTGTGCACATGTCTGTGTGCAAATGTCTCTTTTTTATAAGGTCACCAGTCATTTTAGGGGCCCACCATACTTTAGTGTGATCTCACCTTAACTAATACATCTGCCACAACCCTATTTCCAAATAAGGTCCCATTCTCAAGTGCTTGTTAGGACTTCAACATATGAATGTTTAGGGACACAATTCAACCTACAACTTAAAATACAGAGTAAAAATCTGGGAGCACCCTACAAACAACACACACTCCAAAGACACCTTCCTTCTCCATTCTAGAGATTCTGGAATACATTCTAGAACACACACTAACTGGCATGTATTCCTTCAAGACCTTTTTGTATGCATTTACATTCAAACACAATAGGTTTTTGGGAGTGTTTTATTGTGTATGGAATCATTTAATACACGTTTGTTTTCACTCAGTAAGTTGTGGAGAGCCTTTCTTGTCAGATGAGCGCTTCATTTATTAGCTTTGACTTCAGGGAGGTTGATGGGGTAGATAAAACCACTGGGAAACCACCCCAAAGCCAGCATCTGGACCCTCCCCTCTGGCTAAAGCATGGCTAGAAGGTCAGCAATTCGGTGCTGTGCTGGGGGCGGGGAGCTTGATCTCTAGGCCAGCTCTCCAGTTTCTCTGGTCAATGAAAGGAAATACAAACCTATAGAAATTTTTATGAGTTTATGTGAGAACATGCCCAGAAGTAAGACCTTAGCGGGTTGAGAAAATGCTCTGGAGAATGGTAGTTATGCAGTTTTTAAAAAATGCATTTAGAATCAAAGAAGAGAAAGTAAGAAAGGTTACATAAAATCCATTGGTAGAAGGTTAAGGAGGCATGAGAAAGCAAATTGGGGAAATTCCTCGGATTGGATAAAAAGCAAAATGGAGAGAGACTTCTTTTACGTTGGTGGATACAGGAGAGT